TTAAAAAGCTACCAGGAGAGCATAAATTTTATCTTGGAAGGTCCAAAGTGTGGCAGTTTGCACACTTTACAAGACTTCAGCAGAAAGTGGATTGTATCAGAACTGCTGCACTTCAAGAATGTGGGATGTTTGCATATCATGTTCTTCAAAAGACCAAAGTCTTTGTGCCATCTCTCAGGTAAACTCGTTTTGGTTACAGGATACACCCTAGGTGTGTACTTCTGATGATTTAAACATCATGTGATTATTAATCATAGCTACAGTACTGGCATTTTGTGGAGTTTCCAATGGCACACTGCCTTCCCAGGTACCTACACCTCATCACACAAATGCATTGTGGGAATAGTAACAAGAAGACGTAAAGCCTGCAGCAAGTTATCCATCTGGCGTTTAGATTCCAAAAGTAGGAACAGCACACTGGAGAAAAGATTGGGCAGGGCATTAGTATTTCACAAGTCAAGTATAAAGTTCTGGCAAGTTCATGATCACACTAGGACAAGCCATGCATATCATTAATATTGAGATTTCTTAGATAACCTCTAAGCACCACAGATAATTAATTTCAGCCACCTAAAAATTAAGGGTTTAGTCTAGGTGGTCATTTCAGAATCTTCTGTAGTCACAAAAACCATAGGAGAGAAAATTCACCTTCAGAAGGCAATGCATCCAACCTGCTGCGGACACCAGTGTAAGCATTGCAGTAACAACCACACGAAGGCGCCTGTCTCCTTCCACTGGACCACGACAGCCTGGACAACAGCTTAATTATATAGCTAATATTTAGATAAGTATTGTTAGGTGATACAACTCCTATTCCAAGCAAAACACACACCCCCCAGTCTACTAGCTCTTTAGAGTGCAGAGTAACTTCAAATGTTACTGCCTACATCAGACAACACAGAGAGGGGAAACTGGGATGATAAGTAAGGGAAGCTGAAACCTAAAGGTTGTGCTTTTTCTGACCTTTTGAATGAACTACATGTGAAACACTGAAAGAAGTACAGCTTCTTCAATTAGGAATCAAGAAATCTAAATCTTGCAATTTCACCTGGAGTACTGTAACCAGCTTTGGAATCGTCAGTACAGGAAATATATGGATCTGTTTGAAAAGGTCCAGGGGAGGGCCACAGAAATGATCAGAGGAATGGAACACATCTTATGATGAAAGGCTGAGAGAGTTGGGGGTGTTCAGAATGAAAAAGAAAATACTCTGGGGAGACCTTACTGCAGCCTTTCAGTTCTTAAAAGGGACCTATAAGATGGGGAGAAACCTTTTAGCAAGGCCTGTTGCAACAGGATTAGGGGTGATAGTTTTTAACTGAAAGAAGGGAGATGCAGGGTGGATGTGAGGAAGAAATTTTTTACAGTGAGGGTGATAAAATACTGAAATAGGCTATGCAGAGAGGTTGTGGAATGCAACCATCCCTGCAGACATTCAAGCACAGGCTGGATGTAGTTTTAGGCAACCTGATCTAGTTGAGGATATCACTGCTCATTGCAGGAAGATTTGACAAATGACCTTCGAAGGTCCTTTCTAACCCAAACTATTCCATGATTCTATGACAGTTAATATTTGTACTAAATGTCCCCTGTTTAAAGAACATACAGTCAAAATTCCCATACCTCGTGATATGCCTTGTAATAAGAGAAGTTTAACCAACTGGTATTAAAGCTTGAAGAGTTAAAAGGAGCTTTGGGCAATACCAACACACAGAGATTACAGCAGACTCAGAAAGAATATGGCCCTTGCAATGGAAACTGATTCTACACTGGAAGTAAACTGCCATTCGATACCAGTAGCAACTGCAGTCCCATATTCTTTTTTGATGGGAAGTGATGCTATTGGGAAGAGCTTTATCCGGAAAAGTGTGAAATTTTCTAAATTGACAGTTTTAATGAATGCATTGGACAAAATCATCCTCCTGCCTGCAATAACCAAGTGTGCATAGTGGTAAATATGCATTTATTTAGATACATAGATTTTGTTTAGAAATACTCTTGGCAAATACCATCCATTTAAAGACTTTTTTAAAGCTGTAACAGGAAGTGGGGAAAAAAGAAATCTCTAAAAATAATATTCTCTAAAAATATACCACAGAAGAGCAGGTCATTTTAAATATGCCTTATTGTGCTAATAGGATTTTCTTGTTCCAAACAGTGAAATAAGAATCTTCTCAATAATTCAGTTATGATTCATGATGCAGTGTTGAAAGTTTCAACACTGGTTGAAACAGTGGTTCTTGTTACAGCCTCCTTGACTGTAATGACTAGTGACCACAGGTCCCGGACAACTGTATCCAGTCTTGGATCTACAGCTAAGGAGAAAGTATAGTTGCATGCTGGGATATGTAGTCTTATCAGCTACAAAGATGCATACTAGAGACATGCCTCATACACAGCTGTTGTATCCTAATTAAAGGTGATGTTTGAATTTCTTGTAAATATTTATTCTCATTGTCAGTACAACAGGCCAGGCAAAACCAACAAACTAAAATAAAAGCTACGCTTTAAGAAAATACTGTGGTAATTTGACTCCATCCAATTTCCCAAGAAAAAACTAAATAGAAAATGACAGCAGCAAACTCCCTGCTGTCATTATATTCCAGTAGTGTAAAACTAGGGCATCACAAAAAAAAAAACCCAACAAACAAACCTGGGCCATGTTTTCGTTCACTTTTACTTAAAAAAAAAAAAAAAACAAAAAAAACAAACCATACAAAAACACAGCTGAAGGTAACAAAATCTAAATGAAATCCACAATACAACTCAAAGTCTTAGGAGAGATTTATTAAAGTGGAAAAAGAGGGTAAAAAATTAAATGTAAGTGCAGACGTTAAAGACACATGGCACGTGCCTGCATAACCTCTGCCTTGGCTGTAAATTGTAGAAGCGTTTTGGTTTTTTTGCTGGGGATAGGAGGGGAAATGTAGTTTTTAAAATCTGAACTGCATCCAAATTGTAACCAATTACCTGTGGATACCACGAGAGGTTCAAAATTGCACTGATTAAGATTACGGGAATTACCTACTCATGACCTTCCAAAGTCTCATTTTTCGTGTGGAATACACGGTATACATTCTGCTCTCCTACAATGTATTTTCAGAATATTTTACATTTAAATCTCCCTAAAGGTTTGTTTCCGCTAACAAACTTTGCTGCATTTAACTAGAATTCAAAGGTCTGGAACAAACGACACAACATCGGGCACGACCGAGTGGTGTTCAGTACCAAGCTAACAAACGCCATTGGGATATCAACATACCGTTCCGTCACAGTCAGCAATGGAAACTGGCGATTTTGTAATCACACAGAAACAGAGTTGATTTATCTGTTACAGGAAAGCCCTACAAGGGTGAGGTTTTCTTGTATCTGTTACAGCTTTTTTAGCTATCTACGGGAAGGGCTTTGCTGTTTTTGGAGCCCTACCGGCACAAGAGCCCTCGATTAACTGCCTGCAGGCGGCGGCACACTCGGGATGAAGCTGCACCGATTGTTTTCTCCAAAGGCTAAGGGAACATAACCAGCAATTTGGGGCTTTCCAGACATTCCGTTTAGGTAAACCTTATCACAGGGCTGTTTACTCTTTTGACTGCTGCTAACGATGGAAACTATCTAAAGCAGACAACCTTTCTGATTCTTTAGCTAAGTACCCACTTCACCTCGGGGGTCCTCTTCACTCTCTCTCCCTCTGGGGGCAATTCTTTCTTCACACCCTCAAAAACTACCATGCATTCCTAATCCTCTCTTTAAAAGCACTCCTCGCATTCACTGCACCTCAAAAAAAAAAAAAACCAGACCCATGATTTAACCCTAGCGTGCTAGAATTAGCCGCACGGAGGTCATCGTCGTCCGTCGTCGTCCGTCCCCCCCCCCCCCCCCCAGCCACCCCTCTCGCAGCCTCCTTGAGTATCCTCTCCCACAGCCCAGCATTCGTCGTCCTCCCCCTGCCGCTCCCCCAAACAAAATAGAGGCTTGTGTAACAGCTTCTTCTCTGAATTTATTATCTGCAGGCTGGCGGGTAAGCCGCTCCCTGAATACACTCCCGTCCCTTTTGTCAACGCGCCAGCCTTCATCAAAGGGTCACTGAAAATCGCGGGATTAATAGATTATTAAACCCATTACGCGTTCATTAGTGGTAATCCGCTGCTGATTTTGCCAGCGGTTCTGCTTCCAGTGGGGCAGCCTCCAGGGATCTGGTTTAGTCGGCTAAGAGGACATCCCAGCGCATCCGTGTGGCGTGGCGCTGCGCCCGCGGCTTCGGGAACGGAACACGAGCAGGGCGGCTTCTCCACAGCCCACCCCCACCGAGAAGCAAGAAGTGCTCCTCCCCGCGCCCGCTGCCTCCTCAAGGAGACGAGGCACACCACTGCGGGCGATATCACCTGGGCACCGCTGCCAGCCTGCCTGCCTGCCTCCTCAGGCGAGCAGCGGCAATGAAATAATGCTGCCGCTGCCGCCGCCACCAGTACCAGTACCAGTACCAGCACCAGCACCAGCACCAGCACCGGGATCGGGATCGGGACCGACGACACACGCCTCCACGGCCCATCTCAGGGAAGAGGGCGGTGCCGCTGACGTCTTCGCCCCTTACCCCTACCAAGCTCATGCCTCTCTACCTCCGCGCATGCTCGGTGCGGCGCAGCACGGAGGGGGCACGGGGCAGAGGGTGATGTAATACCAGTAACGGCGCTACCGCTATCCCCCGCGCATTTGCAGCCCTAACATCCGGGCATCCCGCCCGCTGCGCCAGAGGCGGGATTTTGCCGTGAAAAACGGTGTTTGCCGCGCCTTGGTGTTGGCTGAGGTTTTGCTAACGGAGGACAGACGGGGCTCAGGAGCGGGGAAGCCGGCGCGTGCCGACACGCCCCCACGGCGAGGAGGGAATGGGCGAAGAGGAGCGCGTGCGCGAGCACCCACTCCCACCTCCCCGTCCTCTGCGGCGCGCGCGCGGCTGCTCCCGGCGCGCCTGCGCGGAAGAAGGAAGCAGAGGCGGCGGCGCAGTGCGCGCGCGTATGTGTGTGTGTCCGTCCGCGGGGGGCGGAGAACGCTCCGCGGTGGGGCGCGAGTGGACGCGGAGCTCGGGCGGCGGGAGGGGGCCCGCGGAGGCCGGGGGGGGGGGGGGCCGGCGGCGGCCGAGCGGCGGGTAGCGAGGAGGGGGGGAGTGGAGTGAAGGCGAGATGAGCGCTAGGCTCCCCTTGGGCACAGAGCCGCCCTCAACAGCCGCCGCTTGTGAATGAACTGAGGCAAGGCCGCCCGCCGGGTGCCCCCCTCCCCTTCTCCTTCCCCTCCTTCCCCTTCTCCCCCGGCTTGCCCGCCCGTCGGCGCCCCACCGCGGCCGTCCCCGCCTGCCCCCGGCTTCCCTGCCCCCACGCACCTTCGGGAGCGCGGCCCTGCCCGCCGCAGCCGGCGCCGTCCACCGCGGCCGGGAGGTAAGTAGCACTGCGCAGTGCGGGGCCTCCGGCGGGCCGGGCTGAGGCGGGTGAGGGGCGGCGGCGGAGCTGGAGGGGGCCGCGTCCACCGCCGCCCGGGCCATGGGGCCTGTAAACATGTGGGGGCGGAAGCGGCGGGAGGGGGCAGGCCCAGAGGGGGTGGGGGCTCCTCGGTAGCCCTGGTGAGGAGGCAGGCGCCATCCCCGGCATCAGCAGCCGGTACCGGGTCGGGGCTGCGAAAAGGAGGGAAATAAGAAGGGGGTGGTGCGGGTTCGAACCTGATGTAGGATGCTGCTGCTAGGAGCCATTCCCCCCCCACACCTCCCCAAGGCCGAAGGTGGCCTGGCCACGCTGCGCAGCCCCTGCATTGCAGGCGGCTTGACCGAAGGGTGGGGGGGGTGGCAAGGCAGCCCCTCGGGGCTGGGCAGGGGCGGAGAAGAGTGAGCAGAGGATTTTGGGCCTGGCTCAGGTAGCAGCAGCTGCCCTCTCCCCCATTTCCGTGGCCGATTCAGAGTTCATTTAATAATGGCTATAAACAGTTTTCTCTCCCATCACCACCCAAACGCTTGGGGCACGCCACTGGGGAAACAAACAAAAAACAACCAACACGCATCTATTTATAAAGCACCCCACCCTAGCGAGGGTCGGAGCATCAAGCACTCCCCAGATAGTGACATTACTGTGCAGCGGGCGGTTTTCCCTTGCCAACGCCTTTCACGTGTTTAAAGTTTTGAGAGGGATTTCTCTGTCTTTGAAAACAATGTCGTGAGCAAAGGTTACACTGATGAGCTGTGATCTACCAGCCTGCATGTTCAAAGTAGATAGAAGTAAAACGCTTTCCTCGAATAAAAAGTTGTCCAGTGATGTACTGGATAATTGGTCTTGCATGGTAAATGCCAGAGGTTCTGAGCATATGTCTAACCTTTTTATTATATTAGCTTATGTCATAGTAGATATGATACAGCCTTGAGACTGGCTGCAGGTTAATAGTTTCAAAAGAATTGATTTTGTAGACATCTGTTCGATAAGGTGTTTTTATTTATTTAGTACCATTACAATATTTCAGTACTGTGTATGGCAAAATTTTGCTGTTGCAAAACTAAGGTTTACCATAGTACTTGTGAGGAATTAATTTATTCTTTTTAGTAGTACCTTTCCTCAGTGAGAAGGTGCTGGTCAGTCAGCTGGCCAGCATGGTAGCCTTAAGGTTTAAGGTCCTGTGTGTCATACAAAGGAATTTTTTAATTGTTTTTAAGCAGAAGGCAGTTCTAGATCATGAGAGCAGTAGCTGATACGTTTTCCTTAGGTTGTGATGTTTAACATCAGACCAAGTAGAAACATTCTGAAGTAGAAGTTCTAACTCTTGTGATTCTACGAAATTACATTCCAAATAGGAGCTGATGTAGCACTTTCTTGAGCCTGTGTTTATGCTGGTTTAGTGGTTAGGTGGCTGAAGCAGGATTTGTGAAGCACTAGTGAAATTAAAGACAGCTGCTGGTACTCAGGACCTTCTGTGAATTGACAAATGACAAAAAATCATGCAAGTTCTAGCCACATTTCTTCTCTGATAGTTTCCCTCCTGTTACTATTCATAGTTTCTCTATGAATAACATCAGAGACACAGGGTAGGGGGAGGGAAACATGGGTCAGGGGTGTTTTACATTTTACCTATTAAATCAAAGTAGCAGTTGGAGGAAAGGAAAACAGTTCTGATAGGTATACCAGCATTTTTTGTTGGGGTAGGGACAACTCCTAAAGGTTTCTCTTCAGGCCTTTCTGGACCTATCTTTTGTATATGAGACTGGGCTAAGACTTGCTGATCCATTGTGCCAGTTATTAATATTTTCCTCATGGACAGATTCCTGATAAAACCCTCAGATGAATGTAGCTTGTCTGGAGAGAGCTGGTCTGTCCTCTCACAATCTGGCGCGGAAGAGTGTTTTTCTCAGATACAGGCAAGTCCTAGCTCTGGTTTATGGGTTTAGTGCTTTGGTTGGTGGTTTTTTGGTAAATCTCTCCCCATGACGTACAGTAGAAAACTATACCTGTTTTCCAAGTATTAACTGTCTATAGGTGAACTTGAGATACTTTTGAAACTGAGAGATGGAAATGCCAAATGACTGGTGAAACTTGCAGGTCTAAACAAGCAGAACTCAGAGCAATTCGAGTTAAAGCAGAATAAAAAAAATGTTTTTTTTTTTCTGTAAAATCAAGCTGGTTGCTTGTTATCTGGAGCACAATTTATGCAGTGAAGTTGAGTCATTCTTGCTGAGATAGCATTTTAAGAGCTGTCGTTAAAATGCTTAGATATTTAACTCTGGCACAGGATAATTTGCAAACTTATGTAACTGGTATGTTTTTGAATGCAGCTGTCAATAGGGGATCTTATTGCACTTTTCCTTTTTAGTGGAACTAGGAACATAAAACAGCTGCTTTCACCAGATGACCCAAATATAAGTCATTTCACAATAACGTAATTATTACTAAAATACTGTCATTACTATTTACTTAATTTTTACATGTTCAAGACTATTTTGATGTAAAAATACTTTTTTTTTTTCCGATGTAATTGGCTTAGCAGAACTACATTTCAATTAAGTGATTGAATAATGCAGGTTGTGGTATTAAATAATCAAATTTTGGAGTGAGATGTACTGTAAAATAATTGTATTCATAGTCTCTGCAAACCAGCTCACTTCAAAGACTTGATTAGTAACAATGTTTGAAGTCAAGACAATTGTGACTTATAGCTACACCTGAGCCAAACAACATTCTTGCTATTGCAGTGTGGCCTTTTGTAATTTTTGCTCATCTTTTCTCATCAATTGTACCTCACTTTTTAACATTTGTGTGTCATCTATAACTTTTTTAGATGATGCAACCTGTAGTCTTATTTGTTCTTTGGAAAAGAAAGCTCTTTTTGTGTGCTGCTTTGTTGCTGAATTCTTAGTGTTCTCTCTAGTTTTAGTCACGTGATCCAAATATCAGTAAAAATACTAGGATAAGAAATAAACTTCTATAAAATTTAAGCATGTTTAACTACAGTGCTCCTCGCTGAAAGAATGGAAAATTGTAAACTATAATGTCTGTGTTAACAATATGTAATCCCGGAAAAAAAACCACCAGTGTTCTTGGGATATTTAGAAGATCCAGGGAATGTACCTAAAATGTGATTTTTTTCATTTATTTTTTCAATGGCATTTTGTGCACATGCCATTAGGCCTTGCATAAGAAGGATTCATGTATTTGAGCCATGATGTGGTGTGGATCACAGTGGAGATAGCATTATCTCCTTGTAGCTTCTTTAGGTTGCCTCTGTTGCTATCTGTGCTGGAACAAATTAGGGTTTATTAAGATGCAGCACTGCTAGAGTAAATAATTTAAATCTTAAGACTAGGAGGAATGTTTCTACCAAGGAAGTTGTAACTGGGACAGGAGAAGAAAGCAAGCATGATACCATGAGCGTGAGTAGACTGATTTTTGTTTCTGGCTACAGCTAGTATCTGACTGTTACTGGCGTTAAACCAGTGCTGTAAGATCTGCTTTTCTATATTTCGATCTAGTATAACGCCTGCTTTTCTATATTTCTGTCTGCTGTGGAAGGTCTGCTTTGCTGTATTTCTGTATGCTAAACTCCTCTATATTAAACTGCATACTAAATTACAGATGTCTGTCAAGTCAGTGTTATTTTTTTTCTGTTTGAAGTAAGTAAGCCTTTGTTTTACTGAGTGTTCATTTTATTATTTTTTCTTTTTTTTTTTTTTGTTTTCATGTACTGGTAAAATTAACTAATGGCTAGTTCAGCTTGCTAGCTGAAGTCTGCAAAACACAGTGCTTATAAATATGTGAAACAATTGCTTAGTTTTTTTTAAACAGCTCTTCTGAAAAGATGTTTATACGTGACTAAAATAACAGAATAAAAACTGCCTTCATCTACACATCGTTCCGATGCAGTACACTTAACACTGTTTAGTATGTAAACTTTACAGCAGTGTGCTAGCAGAAGAGCATCTAAGAGTGATACAAAGCAAAAAAAAAAGCCTGGCTAATCAGGTTTCAATATTGAAATGTAGAGTAATCCTAACAGTTTATGCATAGAGGAAAAAGTATGTTAGCTTCTTTATTGCTAACATCTTAGTTCTCGTTTCAGGTAAAAATATTTTCATAGATAAAAAGATCTCTAAAGTCTTTAAGATAATAGTTTACAAACCCAAGGAACTCAAATGTAACATGACTTATATTCTGATAGCTGCAGTTTAAATAAAGCAAAGCACTTGAATGTGCTTATACTGATACACCACATGCAACTGAATTATGTGGGACTGCTCAGATATATGATGTTGCTCTCAGGCTTAAATGCCTTGCTGGATTGTGACCTAGAGGATGAAATGTGCTTTCATGTTTGGGTCTCAGATGTAACTTGATAGATTTTCTGTACCTGTGTATACAGTTCATTTTAACTGCCAACTGTAAATATCATCTGGAATTTGAATGGTAGTCTGTATTTTTCTTAACCATATATCATAGCTATTTGTGCATAAAATTATGTAGATTTTTTTTACTTATAAAATACCATTAAATGCAGTAGCCATGAGAACCGTAAACTGTGCTTAAGCTCTTTCTGTTTGGAAATGAGTTTAAGGAATTGTCCAGCTGTCTGCTAAATTAAGTAAATCCCAGTCTTCAGAAAGGGGTCCACAATGCAGAAAAATGTGGGCATGTAAGTGTTTAGTATTAAATTGTAGGAACATTTTGTGAAGAAAGAATCAGTTTCTATGAGTAAATAATTTGTTGGTTCCCCTAGTCTAATTACAATAAGTATTTGGACAGACCCTTCTTAAAAATACAGTATTTCTTCTCTCTGTAAAGAACCATTCTGAGGCTGCAGAATGAGGCCCTGTATGCTTAGGAAATGCTGTCATTAGTAGTGCTTGTATTTTGAAGAACAGATAAATTTGTCAATGTCCTCATTTGGTGGCCAGAATATTTCGAGCTGCAGT